CCCCCCCCCCCCCCCAGCATAACCCATTTTCTCCAACCATCATCTTTTTGTTTTATTTATCAGATGGATGCAGACTACAATTACAATGAAACCAATGAACAGAGTGAATTTGGTGGTAGAAAGAGGAAAGGAAAATCAAGATTTGCTTGTGCCGTTTCACATAAGAAGCCAGTGTTTAATCCAGGTCTGTTTTGCATGGTCATCAGTGGTAGTAAACTCTACCAGAACCTATTACTGGACAAAGTATTTGGGTTTAAGGTGCTTTCCACTGATTTGGTGTCTCGGCTAGTAACCTGCCCATTCGTTTCTATATTATATTCTATAATTTTTACCTTATATCAACCAGTCCAGGATCCCTCTTTACGGTTCGTTCCCAGCTGTCTCTTTCTAGTTTAGAGAGAGCTTGGATACGAATATGCGATCCTTTGTTTATCGGTTAAACGTCGTTAAGTGGTTTGTACTAACGTGGCATCGAGTGATTTCATTGTTGCTCTGTCAGAGAAATTCAAGTCTTGAGGATTCATTTGGCTCTTCCCAAATACAGCTTTGACCGTAGCCATCATATTGAAAACCGGCCACAAGGAAAATTAGTCCCAAACACCATATCTAATGTTGTCAGAGTACAGTTAAATGGCGTTCGATTTGAGTAGTTCAGCATTGTGGGTTTTATAATTCGCAGATGAGAACTCACGCATTGTTCTTCATCTCTTAGACAAGTCTAACATCAAAGATACTTAGTGCCCTGATGTGTCTTTCTTCTCCTTTTCCTCTCCTTAGACGAGAAAACTTTTGAAGAATATTTTGATGACTATTACAAATTGGATTATGAAGATATCAACGAAGACATTCCCTGCAGATTTAACTATCGTCAAGTTGTAACAAACGACTTCGGACTCACTACTTAAGAGGTATATATCAGGAGCGTAGCGTCCATATACGCTCATACGCCCGTGCGTACATGTAGAGCTAAAAGATGACAAAAAATGCATTTTTTTATTCCCTGAAAAGGGAAATCAGGATGACTCATACATTTTTCGCACTGTATTGGTGTCTTTGTGTCAGTTTTATCCTTTTGTTATTCCATAATTCTGATGGCGTCACTGGCCTTTTTTTTTCCCGTAAACACTTACCTTACCGACAATACTAGAGATGGGTAAAATAAACAAATAACTACTGCATTTTCCTGCGTATTAATTTACTGAAATTGTCCTGCGGAAAACGCTGGAAGTGGCATTTTAGAGACGAGACCTTTATTCTTAACTTATCGAATTCTAAAAGGGAGGGAAGTTGGGGGGGAGGGGGGGAGGGTCTTAGCCATTTCGGACAACTTTCAGTCTGACTGTCCTAGTGTTAATAGAGTGATGGTGTTCTAAATTGTTCATAATCTTGAATTTAACTAATTTGTTTTTCCCTGATCCATTCCTTCAGATATTAACTTGTCCCGATAGAGAATTAAACCAGTGGGTTTCAGTGAAAAAGATGTCCCAATACAGGTGCGTTTGCTTCTAACACTGCCTTCCCAATTAGCGGGTCAATATTTGTGCTACTGAGGGTTCTAACCATCCCTTGTCTTTAGTTATATATTGGGCTAGACATAGTCGAGTCTTTTCGCAGGAAGGTATCTGTAGTATTTGGACTCGCAAAGTACAAAAATTATCGGACCCTTTCATCTGCGGTTGTTTATTCTTATGAGAATATCTGACAAAGCAATTTTTCTGGGGAACTGTAGCTGCTATTAGGCCTATTAGCGGCAGCACTGTATAAACTCTGACGTCACGGGGAAGCAGGACAATTTAACTGCGGGTGGCATGGAAACCGTGCGATCTTTTGTAGCCTACACACTTCTCTAAGATTTTTTTGTCAAACAAAACCCTGTTGTCTAAATGAATTCTTTTTGTAGTCTTCGCGGACTTGTAAAGACAAATAATTCCAAAACAGGCCAAAGGCCTATTTGCACCCAGTGTTTCAACACAGACAAATGTTGTAGACATTTCTTTCGAACTTATGCGCTTCGTCTGCAAGTAAAATGATATGTTGCTTTCCACGGTTATTTTACTAAATACCTTTCCTTCCCTTCTCGGAAAGCATAGAGCCTTCGAGAAACTTAAGTTTGCTCGTTTCTAACAGACCTGAAAGTGAAGAATATACAGACGTGAAGAAGTACCGCAAAAAAGGAAGAGACGTGACCAGAAAGAGAAGGATTCTAACTTCACTGGCCGAAAAGGATGGGTATGTTGTGTCTAAGAAAAGCCTGCTATTTTCCAGTGAAATAGTACAATGCTTTTGTGTGTTCGACTCTTGTGGGCTACCAGTTAGACCAAATAGGTTTTATTCAGTTGTTTGTTTTATCAGTCGACCACATACCTTTGATCATCCTTGATCATGCCCTTTCTTGGTGTTTGGAATCTTGATGCAGATGATTTTTTCTTGTCTTTAACATATTACTTCTACGTTCACTTTTTGCAGAAATAATGAGGAAAATTCACAAAAGAATAAATCGTCCGCGAATAGTTTACCGGAAAAGACCAAAACATCTGAAAACAATCTTAACAGAAATGACAAAACCGTTCACCAAAATGAGAGCGGAAGTAATTTACAAAGGACCGTAAATGCAGCGACAAATGAACATAAAAAGAAAAGTGCAAGCCAGGCTATTACAGAAGGGCAATACTCAAAAGAAATGAAAGAATTCAAAATTCCAAAGCTCAAACGAACTTTAGGAAAAAGGACGTTTAATGGAAAGGATAAGAGAAGAAAGAGACTCACTTTTAAGGAGATGAAAGAACTTGCAGTCAAGAAACGATTGCAAAGACAATTTAGAGGAGCGAAAAAGGAACCGCTGGCTAATCTGTCAGCGGCGCGGCTTGCTTCCTACGGACTTGACAAGAAGAAAAAGAAGAAGAAATCGTAGTTTAGTTGTTGTGACTGCTACACTACGATGAGCCATGCATTGTGGCTTCCCCTTTCCATCCACTTCCGTTTCGCTGGAAGTCTCCCTCCTCTTTTATTGAGGAGACTTTGCTGCATCGATTTGCTGTGATCTTCTGATTCGAGGCCGTGAATACGGCATACCCTCTTCCTCCCTCACAACCTTGATTAGTTATCATCCTCTACACGTAGGTGTTCTGTGAAATCATCCTTGTTGATAACTAACAACCTGTCGCCAAATTTTATTGTGATTAATCTACTGACAATTCCGCCCCTTACTGTAAAATCTCCCCACCCCCACCCCCCAAACACGCCGCGCGCCTTCCCGCTCACACAATCCATCCCTTTCTGTTGCATTAATTTGTTGTAATCTGGCTACCTATAATCTTGCATAAGCACATTTTGATTTTGATTTTAATTTTGAATCTACATTTTTTTATATCTGTAATCATTTATATAACCATATATTTTTAATTGCGTTAGGCGTTAGATGGTGTCTTATTTATGTTTCAAGGAGTATATGCTTTCGCTCCCGCGTTGCACACACAAGTCCTGTGAAAAATGAAGGTTATTAAAACTTTCATTGTCACTGCACTATTATTCTTTCCTAAAATTCAATTGACTGTGCACGAAAGGTTCAAATTGAATGCGGCAGTTTTCTTTTATACTTGTACTCTTAAAAAAAAAATTTTTATGGGAATTATTTCCTCCAGCAGCGCGCGCTGTCGTTGGCTTCGTTGAGGTCACTTGACATGGCAAGCGCTTCTCTTTTGTGAGGAGAAAAATTGGCGGGAAATGAAAAATGCTCGAGCAGACATTACAGGTCGCCCGTTTTTTATGGTTAAGAAAAAAGGAATTCCTGAGTACAGAGTGCGAAAAAAGACAAAAAAAAAAAAATTCTAAATAACCCGCGAGCTAGGTGTGTAAGCAAAATGATTAATCACAATTATGATGTAACAAATTAAGGAAACAAACATTAAAAGCAGTTAGAGAACTTCGTCATAATGACGCTATAGAATAACTGTTCGGAAACTAGGACCTCCACCATTTTCGTACGTAGTTTTAACAGTTTTTCTCTCTTTGGGAAAAATTTATGGCGGAACCGGGGCGAGGTCGGGAAAAGTCGTATGCTTTGCAAGATGAATATCCGGACGATCTGGAATATCGTGATTCCGACGAAGAAATCTATTACCCGACAAGTAACGAGGTCTCGCGAGTGGATATTAATCAACCACGGACGAGTCTGGAAGGTTTGGCCCCTTACGAGTTTTACCGAAATTACAACGAAGCAAAAAGAGGAGACGCTGATTACCGCGATCAGTACATACAGAACTGGCAGAGCGCTTTGGAAAAACAAGATCAGGAGATAAGAGAACTTAACACGCAGCTGAGAGAGCTTAGAGAGGAATGCCGCGAGTATTTCTCGAGTTCGGAAGAGAAGCTGAGCTGTTTCGAGGGGAAAGTTGATTTGCTTATAAATTTGGTTTCTTCGTGGACGCACCACCCTTCCATGGACCGCAGATGTCGAGGATTTTGCACCAAGCATGTACGAACTGAAAGGTGCTTGTGTCGTGGTTTGAAAGAACCTCACAGGTGCTGTGGTCGTATTGGCGGAATTTGTGACTGTTGAAAACAGAGCACTTTCAATAAGTACCAAAACTAATTCCGCAATTGCTTTCTTTTCCGTTGAGGCTTTTTTATGGGTCAGAAAACCTCTGGCGACTTGCTCAACCAATCAGGAGCGAAAACCGAAGGCAATCGCGCGCTTTTCCCGCACTTCGCATTAGCTACTTCATCGACTGAGTTGTGATTGGCGAATCTGATTGTCTGCGGCGTGTTTGATTGGAGGAAAGTCATTTTGAGTGTACCACACTCAGTTGAAACTGCGTTATATATCAGATTAACACTGATAAAGTGTGAGGTAATTTAAACAGCCTTCTTGAGGTCTTGATAAATTTGTCTTGTTCTCCATTTTAATGATTGAACTCATGATATTGCAACTGTTCAATTTTGCTTCAATGTCATGGTTGCCTTAATAGTGCGACTGGTCAAATAATTTTTGGGTGACCGCTAAGTTAACGTTTTTTTACGTATTGACCTATCATTCGATCAAGATAATAATTATGACTTCAGGGTGTTTAGTATTTCTAGTAAACGTGTTACTTTGCTTCTAGAAAATGCGGTGAGGAGAAAACTTTTAGAGGGGTGTGCGAGCTCACAATAAAAACCTTACCATTTCAAGCCAAAATATGTTATCTCAAGTTATATCTAAATATTAGCGTACTAAGCGAATCACTGAAGACATAAATTACAATCCTCACACTAGTACAGAGCTATAAAAAAAAATTGGCAGTCAGGCTTATCCATTGGCCAAATAGCCCTCACATTTTGCCTGCCTGAGACCAGTGCTTGTTTGTGTTATTGAATGATTTAGTTAAAAGATGGCTTTCCTGGGCCTTTCTATTTTGGGCAAGTGACCTCGAAAGGTTACTTGTCCAGCAAGAAATTCTTGTGTCTTATTGGTACTTAATTTCGCTGGTACTTAATTTCGCGATTTTAACAACTAAACATGGAAAAAGGGGCTTTAAATTTCGCGATTTAAGCGTTCTAAACTTTATTTTATAATTTTTTTTAAAAGTCTGAACCTTTAACAAAATTAGATAAACTGGAACAATCAATGTGTGAAATCTTTGCAAACTAACGTCATTTCACAACGGAAGATACATATTGGAGCTTACCAGTAAAACCAGAAACAATGTGTTTGTCGATACATATCGTTGCTATTACATGTCAACTGCTATTTGAATTTTCTACATGGGTATTAAATTTTCGCGTGCTTTTAATTTCGCGATTTTTTTTACAATTGCGAAACATGCGAAATTACTGAAGTACCATTAAGTTAGTCACGGACTACTGGGTATGAGCTTTTTTCGCTCAAGTAGGTAAATACTGTTTTCCGAGAATGTGATCACTTCCTCTGTCTTATTCTCGAAGATAAACATGTCAAGGCTACTATATTTAAGGTGGAAAAAAGAAGTTCGATACTGTCTATCCCTATTTTTATGATATTAAAACTGAAGTCAAAAGGTATACCTGCAAACGCAGGTGAGTACCTTCTTTTTCTTTTTTATTCAAGGCGAACCTCAATTTGAATTTTACCCTGCATTAAAGTGCTGATTTTGAATGCAAATAGCAAAATCTAAGTTATAGTGCATATCAAACTAGAAATCTTCCTAGGGTTTTTTTTTAACCTTTCGTTTTTGTCCAGGTCTTTCGAGAATGATTCTTTTTTCCGTGTTTTGCGAAATGACCACGTCCTGCATGGCTGGAATGATGCCCTTGCGAAAAGCAGTGGACAGGAGGTGCTCTGCAGTCATTGTCTGAGGATACTGACGAATGGCCCATTTGAGGTAGAGTGCAAACTCATTCCAGTCCACTCTGCCATTTTCAGCCATGTCAATCGCCTTCAAAGCGCGCCTGGTATCATCGCACCTATAGCAGCTAAAATAGAGCGCCATGAAGCCATTGTAAAATGAATCGAACTCAAGCTCGTCATCTCCTTTGAATTCCTCTCTAAGATTCCACTCATCCCACATCTGTCGAATTTCGTTGATCAATCTTTGAGCGTGAGCCTCGTTTGGAACATCCGCTGCGATCACGTCGCTCATCTTAGCGGTTAATTGGCCACCAGACCGGTCAAATAGAACTGCAAGACCAACTGCGCTCATGTATTCTTCCTTCCTGTTGTTGTGTAGATCCTCCAGCATGACCTCTTTCATTCTCATGCCTATTTCCTCCGTGAACTGGGGATCCTCTCCAAATAGATGCTTAAGTCTTTCTGCCACCATTTTAGGTGTGGCCAAGGTAGTTATTCGTATTGGAGGCTCTTCTCCAAAGAACTTGGCAACGTCAAATTCTTGCTTGTCTGGCTTCAAGTTGGGAATTCCGAGAACCATATCAAGGGCTCTCTCACCATACACAACCTGCGTTGAATGAGGTTCAAACCCAGTTGTGATCCTAGTGATCTCTTGAGCGGCTTTACGAAGGTATGTACAGTTAAACTGTTGCAAAACCTTTTCATTTCCAAGACGGACCAAGTTCATTATGGTCACGCTGGAGGAAGCATGACCGACGAAGGCGCCTTCTTTAATCAAACTAGCCCATATACCATCTGCTCCCCTAGCAAGACACTCCAACACGGTGCAGTCAGCCATTCCCCATTGCTCGTGGACATGCACCAATAGCTTACCGTCCTTCCAACAACAATCGTCCATCTCTCTACGAACCGCCGCCGTCCAGGCAGCGAGTTCATGTGGCATGGACTTGCCAGTTGGTTCTTCGTACATCAGACCAAAGGGACGCTCACTTAAGGGCAAAGAGGACAAGTGATGAACAACTTGAAAAATTCGTTCAGGTTTCCTCAGCATACTCTCTGGAAAGTCGCGGAGGTTGATGAATATGCGGGAATCCTTGGAAAGATTTTCTCTCACCCACCTCATTCGATCACACAGAAGATTGTTGATATCTTCGGGCGGAAACTTCTTGTAGTCGATTCCACTGTAGACCAAGTCAATTTCAATAATAGCATGTTTGATGCCATACTCTTTCATTTTTTGGAAACCAATGGGAACAGTTACAATATCGGGAGCTCTATCTTTGTCAACAGATTCAACGAACTCCGTGAAGGCAAAAAATTTACTGAAGTCTTCTCCTTTTTCTTTAAGTTGACGACAGAATGTGTCCCCCAGACGGGTCATGTGGTTAAACGATGCGACGATGATATTCTGGAAGCCTACCTTCTTCACCTACGGTTGAATATTAACGAAACAAAAAATTGTGGAGTTAGGGCGTTCCCGTTCTTGTTTTGTAATGTTTGGAGTGGATGGAATTAGTAGCAAGAATGACAGAAGAGAGAGGAGAAGAAGAGTATGGATAATAGAAGGAGATCGATGGGAAGTGGCTCGGGGAGACGAAGAGGAAGCAGATGCAGAAGAAAGAGAAAGAAAAGAAAAAGAGGAAAAGGGGAAAGAGAGGGGTGGAGAAGGAGGAGGAGAAGATTAAGGAGAGAAGAGTGGGGGCACAAAGAGGGGAAAGGAAGGCAAGGAAGTGGAAGGGAAAAGATTTAAACGAAGAAGGAACAGAATCAGGAGAAGATGAATGAGAAAGTGTGAGCAAGAGGGCGAGAAGAGGATAAAGAAAAGGAAAAAGAGTGGGAGAAGACGGGGGGAAGTAGAAGTGAAAGAATGATCGTGAAAAAGATGAGCGGCTATTGAGAGGCGGTAGAATGAGAAGGAGAGCATGAGGTGGAGTAGAACAAGGAGAAAGGAAAGAGGGGCTTGATGAGGGAAAGAAGACTAGGTAAGTAACAGAAAAGGTGAACGGGAGACAAGAAGGAAAGGGCAGATAGGGAGAGGCAAAACGGTGAGGAGGAAGAGGCAGATTGAGGAAACGGAGGAGCAAGAGCACTGAGAAAAGGAACAGAACTCCTTCAATTTACAAATTGTATTCACTAAAGAGTAATCATATGAAACAGTCAGATATAAGACTGGCTCACCTCATTGTATATTTTCCATTTGTTTTCGATGGTATGGCCTCGAAGTTGTCCCACAGTGCTTTCTCGAAGGGAATTGTCTAAAACGAAAAGGTCCAGTTCCTTTAATTGCTTCAGTTTTTCGTTTTGTTCTCGAAAGTCCTCGTTCATGCGATTAATTTGTGCCTGGAAAGACATTCCGGGTAGATTTACTTGATCAGCTAAAAAAAGGAAAAGAAAGAAGAATCAATCATGACCGAGTTGATCGAACATCTGACTGTGGTACTATAAGCACAATTGAATCGTTGCGTGCAGAAAACCTTGGTCTTAACACATCACGAAAACTTTCGAAAATTCTTGACGACTTTGAACCTTTATCCACAAATTTGCAACACTCTGCACTTTTTAATGAAACACATTGCAAACAAGCAGGAAGGGCAGCGCGATGCTTTACAATCGGACCCTGTCCTACCTGTTTAATGTAATGTTACACAGGACGATTCGCAACGACGATTTTTTGCACAACACTGCGTTGCAATGCTCGAACAATATATTTGTAACCATTCGCAACAATGTAGCAACGCTGTGTTTTGCTAAAAATCTTCCTTGCGACTCGTCCCGTGTGACATCACCTTAAGAGATGGAAAGAGAAAGCATAGGATTTCATCATGGACCCTAGATATCACACTCATCTCAACTCAGACATGCAGTTTCTACGCTTACGTTAAACAAAGCGATGCCCAAGTCTGGAAATACTTCTCTGAACTTCATAAGGTAGTCCCTGCAAACTTTTTTATGTTCTTTTGCCAAAGGTGGTTTTAAGTATGACGGCATCAGCGAATATTGCACTGTGATCAGTAATTCTGTGACATCATGTTTTAAATCTTGTAAATATTCAAAGTGGACAACATTCTTCATTTATGGGCAACCTCAAAATTCCTGAAAAGGCAAGTTTATGGTTTAAAGTTATCCCAAGTGAAAGAAATTCCAGACCAATATATGTATGCCAGAAAAATAATCAAGAAAATTTACTAAGTGTTCAAAGCAGAATAGGCCGCTTTTCTTGTCCATATCAAGGAGGTTGAGCGCGTATCTCCGTGGAACTTCAACTGGGAACTAAGTTTAACTAACGTGTAAATAGTATTTTTACGAGGTATCGTTTTAAAGCATTGTTTTAAATATTGAGTAATTTGCGTCATCTGATTTTATTTTTAACACTGACAAACTGCAACTCGCCAATATTTTTTTTCCTGACGCAGATCATGAATCTCTTCGCCTTGGTTGAAGCCCGGAAGGTTTTAATACGCCCGTTCCGAAGCTATTTTTTCCGCTGTATTTAGTCTTTAAAAAGCGTGCCAAATTCCGATTACTTGACTGATTTATAAAAACTAAAACAATAACTTTGGCTTCGTCAAGCGATTAAGCGATATTGTACAGCTATTAAATTTAGCTAGTCATTTAGCAAGGACGTCATCCAATTTGATTTGCGTAATAACGGGGCTTGGATAGCGAGGATTTTTAAAGACCGCCAAAGGAATGTTCGACTTTTATTTTATCATTTATAATAATGTGACTTAATGATCTCATCATCAAGGCTACGTACAGAACGTGCAGAGCGCTTTGGAGAAACAAGATGAGGAGATAAGAGGACTTAACACGCAGCTGAGAGAGCTTAGAGAGGGATGCCGTGAGTATTTCTTGAGTTTGGAAGAGAAGCTGGACTGTTTCGAGGAGAAAGTTGATTTGGTTATAAATTTGGTTTCTTTGTGGACGCACCGCCCCTCCATGGACCGAAGATGTCGAGGATTTACGAACTGAAAAGTGTTTGTGTCGTGTTTTGAACGAACGTGGGAATTTGTGACAGTTGAAAACAGAGTACTTTCAATAAGTACCGAAAACAATTCCCCCATTGCTTTGTTTTGCGTTGAGAAACAATCTTGTGCGACTTGCTCACCCAATAAGAGGGAAAACCGAAGGCAATCGCGCGCTTTTCCCGCGCTTCGCATTAGCTACTTCATCGATTAAGTTGTGATTGGCAAATCTGATTGGCTGCGGCGTTTTTGATTGGATGAAAGTCATTTTGTGTGTACCACACTCAGTTGAAACTGCGTTATATATCAGCTTAACACTGATAAAGAGTGAGATAATTTCAAGAGCTTTTTGAGGTCTTGATAAATTTGTTTTGTTCTGTATTTTAATGGCTGAACTCATGATATTAGCTTGATATTGCAACTGTTCAATTTTGCTTTAATGTCATGGTTGCCTTAGTCGTGCGACTGGTCAAATAATTTTTGGGTGATTGCTAAGTTAACGTTTTTTTACGTATTGACCTATCATTCGATCAAGATAATAATTATGGCTTCAGGGTGTTTAGTATTTCTAGTAAACGTATTATTTTGCTACTAGAAAAAGCGGTGACGGGAAAACTTTTAGAGGGCTGTGCGAGCTCACAATAAAAATCTTGCCATTTCAAGCCAAAAGATGTTATCTCAAGTTATATCTGAATATTAGCGTACTAAGCAAATCACTTAAGATATAAATTACAAACTTCACACTAGTACAAAACTACAAAAAAAAGTTGGCATTCAGGCTTGTCCCTTGGCCAAACAGCTCTCACATTTTGCCTGCCTGAGACCAGTACTTGTTTGTGTTATTGAATGATTTAGTTAAAAGATGGCTTTCCTGGACCTTTGTATTTTGGGCAAGTGACCTCGAAAGGTTACTTGTCCAGCAAGAAATTCTTGTGTCTTATTGGTACTTAATTTCGCGATTTTAACAACTAAACACTTTGGAAAAAGAGGCATTAAATTTCGCGATTTAAAAGTTCTAAACTTCATTTTAAACTGGAACAAGCAATGTTTGAAATCTTGGCAAACTAACGTCATTTCACAACGGAAGATACATATTGGAGCTTACCAGTAAAAGCAGAAAGCAATTTGTGTTTGTCGATACGTATCGTTTTTCGAGAATGTGATCACTTCCTCTCTCTTATTCTCGAAGATAAACATGTGAAGGCTACTATATTTAAGGTGGGAACAATAAGATCGATACTGTCTATCCTTATTTTTATGATAGTAAATCTGAAGTCAAAAACGCAGGTGAGTACCTTCTTTTTCTTTTTTATTTAAGGCGAACATCAATTTGAATTTTACCCTGCATTAAAGCGCTGATTTTGAATGCAAATATCAAAATCTAGAAATCTTTCTTGGGTTTTTTTTAACCTTTCGTCTTTGCCCAGGTCTTTCGAGAATGATTCTTTTTTCCGTGTTTTGCGAAATGACCACGTCCTGCATGGCTGGAATGATGCCCTTGCGAAAAGCAATGGACAGGAGCTCCTCTGCAGTCATTGTCTGAGGATACTGACGAATGGCCCACTTGAGGTAGAGTGCAAACTCATTCCAATCCACTCTGCCGTCTTCATCCATGTCAATCCTTGATTTTGATCCTTGATTTTGTCCTTTCAACTTAACCAAAATTTTTTTTGAGATCCGGATCATTCCCTGTTGTTGGCTTTTAGTCGGGATGTTTCAACACAGGGAACCACCGAACCACAGGAAACCGACGATTAGAAAGGCTCGCAACAAATATGTCTCTTGTTCCTCTAGGATACACATGATCAGGCACAATTTTCATATTTCAAAAAATTATACTGTTTTTCGTCCTACAAGTGAGCCTCTAATATAACTCGAAAAAAATTGATTTACTCGCACGCGCCAGCATAAGTCTTGATTGGCTCCCAACTCAGAGTAACATCTTTGCAGGGGGAGATCCAGGAATTTTTCATTGGGATGGGGGAAGGTCCAAATTTTGGTTCAGAAAGGACTGTTGAACTTTTTTGTGACAAATTACTTTTCCCCCACACCCCCTCCCACTAGTCACTGAGAAGGCAGAGGCGGCTACGTGTTTCTCAATCTGTAAAAGCCAGTCGCCGTTGGACTGCTTTGCGAGCAGAGGCGAACAGATCATAGGAGGGTACCCAAAGACAATCACATTTATGAATATCCCTGGAATTTAGTTTGGTGGCAAAATACAACACGAGTTTCATTAAAAAAATCAGCCATCCTATCGTTATAGACTCTTAAACTAACACAGTCTCAGGTGGGTATCGTTGGATTCAAAATTGTTAATCGGCTCCTGGTTAAATCGCATAAATCGCTGCATAAAAAACGGAACAGATTTAATACTCGTGACTTTTGTTATATTTTTTACCGCTTTGTGGTCTTTTTCAACCTCGTCCCCAGGGCGCTTTTCCCTGGCTTTGGGGGCGGGGCGCTCCGCCCCCAAAGCCAGGGAAAAGCGCCCTGGGGACGAGGTTGGGTCTTTTTGACACTTAATACTTTAACTCAGCTTTATTTTAAAAAATCTATACACATTTCGGACGAACATTGTTTCGAGAAGTTACCGAATAATTAAAGCTTTGGCGCCTACCGTACTTCGCATTTGGTTGTGCTTCGGTCAGAGGTCACGTTTTTTCACCCGTTTTTAGTGTAACATTTACATTTGCTTCGCTTTGTCAGCTCTCGTGATTTCATTTACCCAACAATTTTATTTCGCTAATTTGGAGAGAAAAGAATGCTCTTTCAGGCTAAACAAGCCTTGGTGTTCAAAGCCATGTACCAATCCGCTTTTTTAGCTCGTGAAAAAGTGCTAAATTTTGACGGTTGATTAAGCGATTTTGAGTCAAAAACTTTGAAAATTTCTTAAAAAATCTGTTGTTGACCAAATCGCGAACTAATCAGTTAAAATTATAGAGAAAAGATAGACAAAATCTGAAGTGTCATTATATTTTAGTAGCCAACTTTATTTTTAAATGTGCGTTGACATTTACGCGGAGCCACTCTTAAAACCTTATTACAGACTGAAAATGAGGGTAGGGTAGGTTTTTGAGCTGTGGCGACGAATTTCCGATTTTGCTCGATTTTTCTGTCCAGTGCCAGTCAGAGAGTACAGCAACTGTCGGCAACATTTTATTGCTGAGTTATACTTTGCATCCAAACAACACACAAATAGCGAAGACAGGAAATAACAACAGATGTCCCGCTGGGTGGTAATATTTCCTTAGCTTATACCATTCAAAAGGACAAGACAATTTTCAAGAATAAAATCACTTCTGTTCAGTTGGCCTTGTTTTTTAAATGTCAAACCAGAAAAAGCTTTTTGCACTTCCCCATCTCTCAGTGATCTCTGGTATACCTGGGTACTCCCCACTCATTAGAGTGTCCCCTGTGTGGACATTCTTAGGCCGGATAACAACAACAAGGAATGAATATAATTTTTAATTATCTTTATTCAACTGTCCCCAGCTGGTAGGAGGAAACCTTCAGAAAGTAAGGTCTGTATTACAATGTAACAATAAAAAGCTGCGTATTATATAAGCCTACATGCAAGAACTGCTGACATAATTTGGGATGTCCTGATAGAAGGTACTATTTCCTTAGATAATACAGGCCAAAAGAACAAGGCATTTATCATGAATAAAAGCAATCCTGTTTAGTTACCGTGGCCTTGTAGAAACCTTCAGAAAGCAAGATCTGTATTACAATGTAACAATAAAAAGATGCGTGTTATATAAGCTTACATGCAAGAACTACTGACATAATTTGGGATGTCCTGATAGAAGGTACTATTTCCTTAGATAATACAGGCCAAAAGTACAAGGCATTTATCATGAATAAAAGCATTCCCGTTTAGTTACCGTGGCCTTGTAGAAACCTACAGAAAGCAAGCTCTGTATCACTGTTTAACAATAAAAAGCCAGATATGATATACATCCTAACAAGTGTTGCTATAACTCAGCCTGTCCCGCTAGGCGGTACTTTTTTCTTCGGTAATACCGGCCAAAAGGACAAGGCCGCTTTTATGAACAAAAATATTCTTATAGAGTTATCCTAAGCTTGTAGAAATCTACAGAAATCAAG